TAATTCATTTTTAATTTTTATTTTACGTTTTACTTTCTATTTTATTTCTTATTTTCACTGTATTTTAATTTTATTTTTATTTCTTAATTCATTTTCATTTTACAATAAGGTGATGGATCTAAACACGTCAGCAGGGACAAGGTGACGGACTCCAAACCAATTCCCACATCCCTCTGCCTCCCTAAAAACAATCCCTCACACCCTGCGGCTGCCTCCTCATCTCAGCCCTTCCTTACTGAGCTGAGCTTTGCTCTCTGCTCCTTATCAGCTCCACCCACTGATTAAAGCAACTTTTAATCTTGATTTGACTCCTCTCACCAGCTGCTTTCCCTTTGCCACAAGGTCTCCCTGCTCTTCCACAGCCATCCTTTAATCCATCATCCCTCAGCCACTGCTGAGACTTCCCTCTCCAAATGTCCCCACTTCCCTGGCAGCAGCTCATCTCCCACCTCCCCACAAAGGCTGGACATTCCCAAAAATCCTCACTTCAACCCGACCTGCAGCTCCCATCAACTCGAGTTACACACATTCCCTTTCCCAACTTTCTATCTCGTTAACCCACAAGAGCAATAATTAGGAAAACTTCATTTTGGCTCCAAAGCCGAACTCCAAAGGTGCCGTCGCTCCGGGCTGGGAACACCAGGGCACTGCAGGTGGAGCTTTGGGCAGGGATGGGGGGTTGGATCGGGGGGGTTTGCTCCCCACACCTGAGCAGGGCTGTAGCCGGCGGCTCCCATCCCCATCCTGCTCGTGCCGCTGGAATTCAGCTGATTCAGTGGCCTCTGGGCTTCAAAAGGCACCTTCAGCTCTCCAGTCAAAGGCTGTGGCTCCTGAGATCCACGGGGCAGGATCTGGGAACGCCGGGCAGGGCTGGGAAATGTGCATCTACGAGGAAGGGCGAGGGCACAACCGCCTCCCTCTGTTCTGGTTTGGCAATTCCTTCCCCGCAGATCTGGAAACGCTACAAAGCTGAGGGAACAACCACCCGCCCCTGCAGATCAGCAGCCCCGGGGGGGATGCAACTTCCAGCGGCTCCCAGGGGATGGAGACTCTCCCTCTGGATTTTATTCCTCTCCATTCCAGATTCTGCCCCGCCTTGTGACCTCAGGAATGACGTTAAGGTGCGTTTGCTTTGCACACAGTACATTCCACACGATATATTTGGAGTATATATGATTTAATTCTGACAAATAGGATCCCACCAGGGCGTTGTGTAGCTCCGCCGTTATTCCAGGGATAATCTCCTTGGCTTGGCACGTCCCTGTTTGTTATTTTATGGCATCAGAACTACAAAAAACTTTATAAATCAGGGAAGGTTTGAGGTTGAAAATGTACAGTGAGCACTTAAGACACATGATCTGCTGCAGCAAAGGCACGGTGATGTCCAGGATTCACCTCCAGGACCCTGGGAGCTGGATGATTCCAGGGAATGTGGTCATTGATGAGAAAGGAAAAGCATTGCTCCAGGGTTACATCCTTTCCTTGAGTAGGTTTTTGCTGTTTGTGGATCAACTGCTGCCTCATGGAGACCAGAAAAAGAGCTGGAACAGCTCCTTAAGAAGCCAAGGAAGCACCCATGGAGCAATCCCTTTACCTTGGTTTCCTGGGAAATAAAAAAAAAAGGCTTGTGAGGAGAGATTTGGGAATGATGCTGATGAATGTTTTGGATGGGATTTGCCCCGTCTCACTTCAATTGCTCAACAATTGGCCCTTCCAAAACAAAATTCATTAGTCAACAGATAATCAACAGATCCTAAAATCCGTGAGATAATTCCCGTCTGCAAGTTCCTGGTTCAGCTGATCCTTTGAGAGGTGACAGCTCAGGCTTATTAGTTCTTAGGCTGTCGTGTTTTTTGAGATGAACTCGTCCTTCCAAGCATCCAGGACAACTGGGAAAAGGAAACACCGAAGTCTGGGAGAGGGAGACTCACTGAGTCGCCTCATCAATGATTTGGAGCAATTTTGGGAACAGTTTCTTCATGGGAAGGGTTGTAAAGCACTGGAACAGTCCCCACCCCTGGAAGTCTTCAAGAACACATGGATGTGGCACCTGGGGACATGGTTTAAGGGTGAACATTGAGGGGGTGCTGGTTGATGGTTGGACTTGATGATCTGGAAGGTCTTTTCCAGCCTTAATGATTCTGGGATTTTGGCATTCCCTCTGGAATGTGAAATGTTGAGGATTCCTGGGCGTGCTGTGACTCTTCCCAACACCCGGAAAGGTTCAGTTTTATCCCAACTCTCTCACTCTGGGATATGACCAGGCAACGAGTTACAGTTGCTGAGCATTCAATCCCCTTATCCTTAAAAACTGCTATTTGTTGAATTTACTGGGAAATTCCTTAATCCCAGAAAAAAACCCCAGTAACAGCCCTTGATTTACACCCTCCTAAATAACAAGTGCCAGCTCCCCACACGGATCCGTGTGCTGCCATCCAGAGTGTGGGATTTGATTTCCTTCTCACTGACACGATTGAAAAGATGGATTTGCCTTGTTCAACACGAGGGAGAAATTCTGTTTCCAGCCCGACCCTAACTGGGTTTTTCTTGGAGTGTTTTCCTTGATTCTCTTTCTTCCACGCTCTTCCCTTGCCCAGCCTGGTGCTTCCCAGCTGATTTGGCAGGAGCTGGAGGTCGCAGCTGAAGGATTGTGTTAGTACTGGTGGTAAAGCACTCAATTTGTAGGGAGGGTGGGAATTTCCATAATTCCAGTGGCTGGAAGTCATCCCTCATCTTCCAGCATCCCATCGGCGCCCACAGAGCCAGAATCAACTCCTGTGATTCCCTGGAAAGCACCACAGAGCGGCTCAGGCTGTGGGATGTGCCCTAAGATTTGTCCAAATGATCCCTAGAAAAGCTCACAGGAGGTCCAGCAGCCCTAGAAAGGATCCAAGCAAGTGTCTCCACAGTCAAAATTCCAAGAGAACACTTCGGAGGTGACACATCCAGAAGGAAAAGAGGATAAGGCACCAGCAACGGGAAACCAGGTCGAGATCCCAAAGACCAGCAGCAACATTTTGTTTTCCCACTGCCAGGAAGAGAAGTTTCTGTCCAGCTTGGATGAAGGACACTCTGGATCCTCCCTCATTCCGAGTCGGATCCGTGGCTGGATGCAGGAATGTGCCAGGGCTGAGCCTCGAACACTGGAGATGCTGGAGGGAGGAGAAATAATGTCAGGATCAGATTAACTCAGGCAGAGAATTCACATTCTAAACCTGTTTAGGTGCTCAGCCAATCCCTGGGATTTTGGTGGCATTTAATACCTCAAACACCTTCACAAATCTGGATTATTTCCCTCCGTCATCTCATTATAGAGAAAATCAGCAGCAATCAAAACATCTTGACTTTTCCTGCCACTTCCTGGCAATCTGCAGACATTCCCTGGCAAAGCCCAGGTAAAGTTTACCTCGGGAAAAGCCTGGCAGAGTTCACAAAGGTCCTGGAGAGGTCACCGAAGGAATTAAGATGGGATTTGTCTCTCTCTGATATTAAAAAAAAAATATATTACGTAGTTTTGCCTTGCAAATTGCCCCTCATCCAAATGCAATCCCTCGGGGATCGTTTCCTCGGGATTTTTTTACCACAGTGGTGTTTGTAAGGAGTTTGCTTCCCCACTAACCCTTTCCTCATGCCCGGAATTCCCTGCCATGCAGAGGGAATTCAGCTGCAGCCGAGGCCGGACACGGCACATCCCGGCAGGCACCAGTTCCCTCCACCTTTCTGGCACCAGCAACAGTCACTGGGTGGCCACATCCCTGCAGGGGAATTCCCTGTGCTCCCACATCCTCTCTGCCAGCAGCACTTGCAGTTTGGTTCCCAGCAGCTGAGACACTTCTTCCCATTCCCATTCCCTCTGGAGCCGAGCGATGCATTCCTGGGAAGCCGCCCCAACTCTGCTGCCAGACCAGCAGAATTCCCTGGATTGACTGGGACAGCCAACACCACATCCAAGGCCCAGAGCCTGTGCTTAACTCTGGATGACCTGGCCCTAATCCAGGGCCAGGCAATGGAATTCCAGGATGAGGGTCCTATTTTGTAGGAATCTTGTATGGCTTTAGCACTGGGAGGGACCGTGACCCTCTGGCCTGATCCTGATGCTTTTATGGCCAGGATGCATTTATGTCCCGCTTCCCACATGGAGAAGTCTTTGTGTGTTTTCCTTAGGCCTCATTCATGGAATCATGGAATCATTTAGGTTGGAAAAGGACTCCAAGATCGAGTTTAACTGTTCCCTGAGCACTTCCAAGGCCATCACTAACCCCTGTCCCCAAGTGCCACATCCACAGGGATTTTAAATCCCTCCAGGGATGGGAATCCACCACTGCCCCAGGCAGCTGTGCCAGGTCTGGACAACCCTTTCCATGAAGGAATTGTTCCCAATATCCAATCCTATATCCAATCCAATCTTTCTCATTCCAGTGCTTTCCCCTTCAGCTGTGTTTAGATCCTCTCATCTCCCACAGGAGGATTTGTGATCACTCACTTCCTCCTCATGGAGATCAGCCTATGGACCTGCTAAAAATGCAGGATTCCAGGGAGATCCAGAGGGATGCCGGAGCTTTCCATGTGCTCCATCATCTCCCTTCTAAATGGGATCACCAATAATTACTGGACAATTGTTGCCTTGTAGGAGCTCTGCTCACTCCACCTCTGTGATCTCTCTGAAAATCTTAACAGTGTCCCATCAGAATCCTATTTTCCATCGTTCCCTCCAGGTTCCTCATCCTTCTTGCACAACCAAAAACCCTCAGGGGTCACAGATTTTAATCCTTATGGATTAAAGCCATAATTAAGCCATTAAAACCCACTTGTGAACCAAGAGGACTTTCACCAAAACCTGCACAAGTGTTGGTGCTCCTCAAAGGTACCCAAAAGACTTTCCCAGGGGGTTGCAGACACTGAGGACCTTCGGGAGACATGGAGAGCTTCCCAAGCCAAGCCCAGATTGAAACAACACAAGATTCTTTGGGATGGTGTCATTCCACCTCCTTATTTTTGGGAGGCATGCCCGAATCAGCTGCTTCCTCAGCTGTTCCCTGCCTGGAGTTCACTGCTCTGTGCTGGAATTTGCTGAGGGCTCTGGTTCCAACCCAACCACACCAGCTCCTCCTGGATTCTCTCCAGGACCTGGCAGAGTCCCTGGACTTTGGATGGAGCCCACGGCCACATCTCTTGCTTTGCCAGGCAGTGTTGGTGAGTTAAACCCGTGTTGGGCCCGTGCCAATGTTCATTCCAAGATGACAGCTGGGACAGGTGGGTTTGGGAAGTGCTGGATGTGACATCTCTGGCCATAAATTCTCTTCCAATGCAGCAAATCCCTGTCTGCATTCCCACCATCCCTGTCCTTCCCCCACAGAAACATCCAGCCAGTGTCACCTCCTTCCCTCTGGGCTCTAAATGTAACAGCTCTGCTGGTGACAAGGACAGTGGGATTGCTTGATCCCAAGCACAGACATGGGCTGGGGGATGAAGGGATGGAGAGGATCTCTGAGGACAAGGACCTGGGGGTGATGGTGGATGAAAAGTTCAACAAGCTCCAGCCCAGAAACCCCCCATGTCCTGGGCTCATCCCACACCAGGGGAGAGGGGATTCAACCCCTCTGCCCCCTCAGGTGAGACCCCACCTGCAGAGCTTCTTCCAGCTCTGGGAACAACAGCAGAGGGATGTGGAGCTGCTGGAGCGAGTCCAGAGGAGGCCCTGGAGATGCTCCGAGGGCTGGAACCCCTCTGCTCTGGAGACAGGCTGGGAGAGCTGGGGGGGTTCACCTGGAGAACAGAGGGATCCAGGGAGAGCTTAGAGCCCCTTCCAAAGCCTAAAGGGGCTCCAGGAGAGCTGGAGAGGGACTTGGGACAAGGACTGGAGGGACAGGACACAGGGAATGGCTTCCCAGTGCCAGAGGGCAGGGTTAGATGGGAGATTGGGAAGGAATTCCTGGCTGGGAGGGTGGGGAGGCCCTGGCACAGGTTGCCCAGAGAAGCTGTGGCTGCCCCTGGATCCCTGGAAGTGTCCAAGTCCAGGTTGGAGCAACCTGGGCTAGTGGGAGGTGTCCCTGCCCATGGCAGGGGCTGGAACAAGATGGTCTTTAAGGTCCCTTCCCACCCAAGCCATTCCGTGATTCCGTGATCTGGATATCGCCGGGCTCTAGAGCAGCCTCCCCACGGGACAGGACATCTTACTGACATGGAGCTCTGCTCTCCATCCTGCTGACATCTTCAGTCCCTCTCCCACGTGGCTTTGGTCCTGGAGCTCGGACAGGTGCCGGTCGTATCCCGGCGTTCCACTGGGAGCTCTGGGCCAGGGCCTTTGCCGCTGCCTTGGGGGGCAGGTTCCCAGCGGAGCGATGGGCGGCCCAGCTGGGACGAGCTGGCGGCTTTGGAAGACACTCAGGATCTGCAGGGAGCCACATCTGGGAAGAGAAGACAACATCAACATCCCGACAGCTTCAGAGGGACTGGAAAGCTTGGAATCCACCGAGAACTTCCACAAATTCTACACATTCCATACATTTTATCCCTAGATCATACGAGCACTTGCAGCGGCCTGTGCTGTGGGATAAAGTTTACCTTGAGGACAAAAGGACCTCACTAGAAAGTGATGCCAGTAAAGCTGAACCCACATTAATTAATTAATTAATTAATTAATTAACTCTCCACAGCAATTCAGATGTTAATTCCCCAATTTCAACCCCCCCCTTCCCCATGCACGTGGCTGTGACTGATCCCAGCCTTGCTTGGTGTTTGGAAGTGTCTCAGTGTAAAGGATGAAATCTACTTGAACAGAAGATCAAAATTCAATGAAAAATAATAATAATAATAATAATAAAATCTTAATATCACAGCTTATTCCTTGAGGAAGATCCCCAAAGATTCAAAAAAACCCACAGGTTATTCTGACCAACAACCTGGGTTTTTCAGACTTATTTGGTAAGAATAGTGAACAAACATTACCGTGTTGAGTAAATAAAATTGAAAACAGGGTCTGCAGAAGATAAATGTACATTGGACAGGACCATGTGTGGGTGCTGGGAGCCCTGGATCTTCATCTTCTGCCCATTATAAATATAATTTTTACTCCAAACATCCATTCTCTCCCCACTGCAGAGACACGGGGGGGGTTCCTGTGCATCCCTAGGAAGGAACGTGGCCCTAATTCATTCACAGCCCTAATTAACTTAACCCACTGCAATTTACTATTCCTTGTAATTGAGCTACTTTACTTTAATTTATTCTAAATGAAGTGGTCGCACTCTGTGCTTTCCACGAGCACTAATAAACTCCAAAACCTCCCAGGTTTTCCAGGGGATTCATCACCCCATGCAAATGTGGAGCCGGTGGATGCAATTCCAGGGCTTGGGTCATCACCTTCATTAGGTGTTTTTATTCCACTTTGGTGTGTTGTTGCCTCCTGAGCCGGGAGCTCCCTCTAATAACCCTTTTTCCATCTTTATTATTGGCCGTAATTCACTTTATTCTCACCTACTTTCTGCACTTGAGTCACTGATCTATTCAAGGGCTGCCTTTTAATTTGACTTGATGTTTGCCTGCCTTGGGCACTTATTCTTTCATCATGGTCTCTTTTTTTTTCTTCTAAGGATTTACTGAAAGATTTGCACATTAAGCCTCTTTATTTGGACTTGATTAAATAAGAGCCTTTTCAAAGGTCTTCATTTCAGCAAGGTTTTCCAGTGCTGCTTTAATAACAAATGGAAATTAATTTTGCATTATTCCTGGCGAATTATATTTATATATATATATTTATTTTCTTTTTCTATGCACCAGCCTGGTGTGACCTCAGCTTTATTGTCTCATTGTGCTGCTGCCATTAAAGGAGGTTTTGTGTGAGAATAAAAAAGCACAGCTCTTCTACTGGAAGGTGGACAACTCTAAAATCAGGAGGAACAGAAGCCTTTGGAATTCCAGCCCAAGGTGCTTGTGCCTTCCTGCTCAGGTTCATTAACTTTGAAGAGCAATAACTTTGGTAAAATCTGGGGGGGGGGGAAAGAATCAAATTAACTTATTTTAGGCCTGAACTGAGATTTTTTCTCTTCAGGACTGACAATAAAACAGCTTTAAATGTGAAAGGGATGAATGTGGTGGGATGAATCCGTGGAGGGATGCTCGGATCAGAGGGAACCATTGGAGAGTGGAAACTGTAAGACAAGGGCTGAATAATTATAACCACCATTATTTATATCATTTAACAGCGACTGAAAGCTTTTCCTTGCAAACAGGCCGTTATTTGGGTCGGGAGGAGCCTCCCCATCCCTGGAGACAATGCCTGTCTTTTATGCAAAACCACCAACCCCATGGAGTTTTCTGGAAGCTGAACTTCCCGAGGCTCCTCTGATGGAGGGGATGCCCTATTTTTCCAGCCCGGAGCACAAAGAAGCCTCAGTGCCAGACCTTCGCTGGGGCTCAGCGACAAACTGGAGCTGTGGGCAAAGCAGGGAAGCTTTGGGAAGGGATTCATCCCGAGGGAATTGTGCCAGGGCTTTGTGGAAAGTGTGGAAATGGGGCCTGAGCGGAGGGAGGGAGGGGCAGGGAACGAGGAAGGGACAGTCGCTGTCCCTTCCCCACCCACGGCAGGTCCCCCTTGATGATTTATAAATATCTATTTATAAAGAGTTTGCCTCCATTTCCTCTTTCATTTAATGTTTGATTGGACTTTATGGCTCTGGACCTGCAGCCGGGCTGGGATGAGGGATGAGGGAATACCAGGCACCTGCTGCTCTTGGCTGCTTTAGGGATGGGTGTGTTGTGGGGGGGGATCCTGCTCCTCTACAGGAGAAATGGGGCTTGCTGAGTCTTTCCACCCTTTACATCCATGATTTTGGACTCCTCCCGTGCTTTTCAGCCTTCCTTCCAGGAGCCCAGAGACACTGGGAGACACCCTCGGGCTTGCCGCTTGGAATTCCCAAATTATGCCTTGTGGGATTGGAAGGTGGAAGGGGAATGAGCACCTTAGAGGGGCTGATGGACCTGCCTGAGTTCTTCAAAGACCTTCCCCACAGTCTGGATTTTATTCCTAAGAGTGGAAAATTGTGGCAGCTGGCCATATCCCAGAGTGATTCCCTGAATTTTCACACTGGAATATTCACTTAATTGTATTGACATTTTACTCCTGGTACTGGAAAATTGTGGCAGCTGGCCATATCCCTGTGTGTTTCCCTGAATTTTCACACTGGAATATTCCTGTCCTGCCAGTAAATTCTATTGACTTTAATAACAGCTGCATAGAAATGTCTAAATTAATAAATTTATGGACATCTGCAAGTCCATGTGAGCTCCAGAAGAGTTTGGACAACGCTCTCAGGGACATGGTGGGATTCTGGGAATGTCC